TTCATGTGAGGAATAAATGAGATCATACATGTAAAGCACTTAGTACAGTGCCCGAAACATGCAAGTGCTCAATAGATGGTAGTTGCAATTATTCCATAATTTAGAATCAATGTGAAATATTGCTAAGGCCTTCCCTCTGCTAAACGATCCATAATTTTGAGCTTCTCCTCTCATTTATCATTACGAGAGATTTCTTCCTCAGAGCTCCTGTTTCTGCTGCGCAGCAATAAAGTGGGGCTATAAAGAATCAGTAGACATGGGAAGCCAGAGCTGAGAATGAGCCAGTGGCAGATAGTTCTTAAAAGATCAGGCAGAGAGGGAGCCAATGGGAAACAGGAATAGAGAACAGAGTTCCTGCTTTGTGCACTATTTCCTGGTGTCTAAGAAAGAGGCATCAGAGCAGATGCATCCTCTAACGCTTAGCTCTAACATTTACAAGATGCTTTTACATTATCTTGCCAATTGTTTACCACAGCTGAGAGTCTCACAACTACCTGTTGTTGGTGACTGTTGTAAGGGGGTCCCCCTTGCTGGGCACATGAAGATTTGACCAAAAAAGACCTTTAGATTCCATATCTCATTATTTTATTATATAAGTCAAGTGCGTTTATTTAAGTACTGCATATCCTTTTTCTATATTATTCGGGTCCCTTATTTTTCTCTTTCTCCTGTCTAATGTAAACTTGGGCTAGTAAGTTGGAGAAGGGGAGAAAAAAATAGAATTATTATCAAATATGTAACTATTTATAAGATGCAGAATACCTAAGAGACTTAAATTAAGCTGTAGAATTTATGAATGCTCCAATAAATTAAAAGATAATTTAAATTCCTGATTGAAGCTTTGTCCCCCTTACTATGGATAAATGAAGTATGACAGTGTGAAAATTAATTCAATTATATTTTAAAATGTACAACTTAAAATACATACTTACTTTCCAAACCTCAGCACGCCTGAAACATAAGTCTGCCAATGAGCACAATAAAACATGAACATCCCAATAAAAGAGCAGAAAAACAACCAGTCAGGATGAGTTCCTAAGCGAACAGCAATTGAAGCTCCAACTGCCATAAATACTGAAAGAAACAAGGTTTAAGAACCATTAAGTATTAAAAATAATTAATGAAATAACTGCCAGGTACTGTTTAGAAATACAGAATTTTAAGGTATGTAATCTTGGTATTAAAACAGGTACACTAAACAAAATAAATTCTTGAACATAGTTTTAAAACATACTGTGCAAGTTTGCTCCCAAATGTACACCTATCCAAAAAACTGACCACTCAAACAGCTCAGTTCATTTTAGTTTTTAAGACACCATTCAAAAAAAAAAAAGAAAACCACTACTAACTTACCTGTGGAAAGAGAGTCACAACCGTGGTCAAAAAGTTCCCCTAAAGGAGAGCAAGAATTTGTTCTTCGGGCTTGTTTTCCATCAATAGCATCCAGTGACTGGTAGATAAAGAGTCCCAGTGCACATAAAAGGTATGTCCAGTATGGTGCCTAAAAATAAATGAAAATAATAAAGACCATTAAGTGACAGTAAGCTAGCTTCTGTTTGAAAATAGCTCAACCTAAGCCAATCGACATATTTTCCTGTGTTCACACTTTATATTATCTCAATATATTATAAGGAACATTCATAATCGTCCTTCTACAGATGAGAATTAAATTGAGAAATCAAATGAATTGCTCGAAGTCATCTGGATAGAGGGTCACAGAAGTCCATATTGTGAGAAGCACAAAGTTAAATGACCAAACAAGGATTAGGACCCTAATTTTGATTCCTAGTCCATGGCTCTTTTAAGATAATACTATTCACATATGGCACTAGATTTGAAATTATTCAGTAAGCCTTTGCTATGAAAAAAGACCTTAAAGACAAACTACAAACCCCTGCTTCCATTCATAATGGAGTATCAGGAAACTGAATTTACTCTCCCACCTCATATAAGTAGAAAAGCAACAAAATATAGGAAACAACAGTTTTCAGACTGCAGGCAGTACAGCACTGTGATCCCTGACAGAAGGGAAACAAATGAGGTGAGCCCTCTGCTCCAGCTTACGACCTACGGGCAACTTCTAGGCCACAGTACAGGAATGGGAAACCCAAACAGAGCCCAGAGTTCCTGCTGTGTTGAGGAGAAAGGTAGCAGAATTTGGGAGGTCAAGGCAGCTAGAATTTGTGGAGCAGAGCAGGGGAGAAGAGGGAGCTACAGAGGAGAGGGGCACAAGTTGTGGAGATCTACAGAAGGGTACCTTTGAGTCTTTGGCTGAGAACTGATCTGTGCCTCAATGAGACAAAACTACTAACCAAAGCCAGGG